AACCTACTTTTGGTCTGCGAGACGTTGATAAATGCACACAGAAGTTTTGTGGGCATACCAGTGTACAGACCATTTTTTTTCGAATTCGGTCACCCTTTTAGTGAATAAGATTTTAGACGTCCGCATCGTTATAGGAAAAAAATTGACAATTTGCATTTTGAACCTGCAATTATTGCAATTGTGGGAAGTGTCTATTTTTTTCTTCTACGACAATACGTTACTTAATTGAGATCAAAAAACCTTTTTTTAAGACTTCTTTAACCTTCCGTAAGCACATAAGAACACTAAAAAATATCCTTAAAAGCGTCCTAAAAACTTGTCTGTCTTTTGCTCATCTTTGCAGTTGCCCTAAATGCCTTGAAATTTTCTGGATTCCGGAAGTTTCGAAAAGTTGAAACTCTTTAAGGCTTCTAAAACAATTTGAAGCTGAAGCTCACATCTGCAACTGCACATGATTTGAAACTCTACGGAACTCTGATGACATCTGTTAAAGTTTTTGAACTCTTGAATGTTCTATATACAGGGTTATCATAAAATAAAGGATATATTTTAAATTATTATAACTTTTTAACAAACTACAAACTAAACGAAATCTAGTTTCTTAAGGAATGTGATTTTATTGCATTTATAGGAAACAAAATCGTTGTTATTTTAATTGTTGACATGAGTGTCAAAATGAAATTGAATTTGAAGTTTTAGTTTGAAATTAAAACTCAAGTAAATGTAGAGTTCAAATGAAAACGTACCGCAATTTGATAAAAAATTTGAAAAATGGGGTCTGTAATTGACCTACCAAAATCAGCAAGACCAAGAATTAGTGATATCCAAGTTGCAGAGGTTCTTCATGAAAATGTTACGGAATGCTGTGTACAATTTGGAGGAAGGGTTGGTAATCTTACAACAGAAAAATGGAGGTCATATTGAGCAATTGCCGTAACTGGTTTTGAGCATACTAAATCCTATTTCTTAAGCAATTAGATTTCATTTATTTTTTGTTATTAACTTAATTTGTTAAAAAGTTATAATTTAAAATATATCCCTTATTTTATGATCACCCTATACTTTTCAAAACTGCACGAGACAGCCCCCTTCTATTGTAATCAACATCCACGACGATATCCATCGAATCTTCGATCCAGATTAAAGTGGACTTGTGGTACACGTTCTAAACAATCGGGGAAATTATTTAAATTATTATTTAACTGCGATCCCCATGGAAGAAATTTATTACTTATTATGTGATCTTTACATATAAAATGGCAGTTTAACAACTGTTTTAATGAAAATAAAACTTATTTTTTTATATAAAATAAAATTAAAATAATATTGCTACTGCGAACACTGTAATCCCCATCTTTGACCTGGCGAGGATGATGGTTAATATTTTGAGACTAAATGAGCAGTTGATTTTGCGAACAAGTTACATTTTCATGTTAATGCTAGCTTGAGCCAATTTATTCCTTCCGAAAGGACTACACCAATCATCGAAGATACCGACCTGAGCCTAGGAGTCGACGTCGTACAGGAATCCTTGGATACCTACAGCGTGAATTTCGGAAAATATTGTTAGATCGTGCGCAAACAGGTTGTTTGAAAAATAAGAGACCCAGGAAAGGTCCCAAATTGGAACCCCGAAAGACACCTTAGAGTGGCTATGATCAGTACATAAACTATTTATGTACCTACTCTGTAATTAGTTACCTTTCCGTGTGGAAATTACCTGCGTGTACGGCCGTGTAAAGTAAATATTAAACTTGTGTTATACAAAATATCAAGATATCAGATCGAATATATTGTATAAACTTAAAAAGGTTGGCAATGATCATGAATTTCATTTCAGAGTTAAAGTGGGTTTTTTACCATAATAAATAAGCTTTATTCCTTCAGAGCTGTGTCAAAGATAGGCATCTTATAATGTGTTCAGGCGGCAGAGAGCTCCATTGTTCTCAATTCCACAGTGAATTAATTATATTCGCCGGATGTGTTCACATTTACTACATATATCCACAGCACCCCAATTTTAAAGTAATCGCACATTCGTCGAAGGTGCAGAAAAGTTGGAGAAGTGTGGAAAAGGTCGCAGAAAAAGGTTACCCTTCCCATCAAACTGTGTTTGTTCCAAGTTAAAATATGAGGTAACGTCCACACGATTTAACGACAATTACCGAATGCACAATTTTGCTTTACACCTAATTTATTCACTTTGTTAAATTCCTACTCGCAGTAAAACCGCTCCCGATGATTGCGTCCGTTAATCGCCAACTGTCTCTGAGTTTGACGTATCCAGCTTCGTCTCCACTTTTTTTGCAATCAATAGTAATGGAAAAAGGCTGCACTTCCGTTTATTAATCGCTCTTTGTGATACCGCGCACTATCGGAAAATTAACTCCCTGTATTTCTAAGTTTTAAATCCGTAAAAGGCTTCGCTCTGATTTACAGGTGCTCGGAAAAGCTACAACTTACGTACCTAATTGCTAATTTGAGTTGAAGTCGCAATCTTGTTAAGTCAATTAAATCCTTGTAAATGGAATTACATGGATATTATATAAAGCTTCTCCCTTTTATGTATAGTATACAATATTGCTGCATTATACGATGCCTTTGATGGTTATAAATAGGTAATTATTTTTAGGGGAATTTTTGAAGGAAATAAAATTTCACTTAGCTGATAGTTTTGTCTGTCTGTCCGTCTGTTCCTCGTCTAACTCGAGAACGAAAAGGGACAGCGCGAGTTCACGGATCAGTGCCATTGGAGGAGGAAATAAGGTCTTTCGAATTACCTTAATTAATCTTAAGTTGCTTTTTGGAAAAAAGTTCGATGCCGTTTCAGCGCTCCAACATTTTTTTTTTCAAACATTTTTCGTTTCCATATCCAAAATTTGAACAAAATCCGACGAACCGTTACCTTGTAAAATTGCCAATGCACGTGTACGTACATACAGACGGAAAAAAATGTATATTTTTTAAAAGTTGCTTAAAATGATCAACATTTGATGAAATCTACCACTCAACTCGACCTAGGAAGCCAAAAATACCCACCAAATGTTGTACTTTTATCGGTTAGCAATTACAGATGATATTTTGTTTAGATACTTTCAAAACCCCCCAGAAATTCAAATAATATCCGACTATGTTTGGCATTTCCCCCGAAAATTATCATCCTTTCGAAACGAAAGATATTATCCAAACGGAATTTGCGCTCATTAGCATACAAATTGGAATCTTATATTAAATTTTTGAATTGCTTGTTACCTACTACTAATTGTGGGCATGTCGCTAATTACGCAATCGATTTCAATTTATTTCTTTCCTCTCCTTCGAAAACGCCGGTTGTGTTTCTAGCTGCCTTTAAAGTTAATTTTCAACGTGACGCCGATATAAATTACAGTTATGAGAGCCGTTTGCGTTTCAACGCGTTGCGTTTGGATTTATTTCCTAATACAGAAGCTCGTTAATTTCGATTTTTAAAGCGCGCATTGTTTAATCGGGCAACCCGTAACTTGTTAGTGAAATGTTTGTCTTTTGATAATTAAACTTAGTCAATGTAAATAAAGCCCTATTTAACTTACAGTGGATGTACCTAGTATGATTGTCTAAACTTCCGATGAGCTCAAATTATTTCAGTGGATTTCACAATTTGCTAACACGCGTTTAAACATGTAATTAATACTCAAGCTTGGGTTTTTTAATAAATTTTCCTATCCCGACCTGGTGTATCAGCATACCGTCGGTGGTTTAAGCAGACATTTTTATTAATAAATCGGTGGTAAAAAAAGTTCTAAAATTCGCGTTTCGTTTTTAATTGCTTTTTCAGCAACCCTAACAAAACACATAAGGAGGTAGAATTGGCAAATTTAGCTAGGTTTTGGGTAAATTCAAGCCATCCCTTCAATGGTCTGAAACATCCCCATTCATAACACGTAGCACGCTGCGATTTTGAAATAATTCACATATGCGATTAAAAGTTCCGTACTATATTTCTGTGTAAACAACGCCAGGTGGACGTTATTTAGGCTGAAATAATGCCGAAGATAATAACGAGTCATCCTGTATATGCGAATGCAGGGAATTTATTTTAATGTCTATTATTCCATTTTTGAAGTGTTTTTAATTGCTTAATTTCTTGTTTAAATTTTAGCATCTGAAAATTGCGTTATTTAAAATTAAGAATCATCAGGTCAAGTTTTAAAACGTTATTTCATCAACAAAAGTATTTCCCGTCTAAATAGCCATAAGAAGAAAATTTTGCGTTAATATTTTCATACTATAAATTGCCAAAGTAAGAATAAAAAACGATCTGTTTCAGGTTTTTGCAAATAATAACGAATTTTTCCATGCATATGGACCGCTTTGTATAAAGAAGGACGTTTTGGAGAACGCGAGCTTTTACATCAAATGTATGGGTATAAAAATATATGGTCAAATAGGATGCCGTTAAAAGCACCTTTATCAAATTAAGGTTTTAAGAATTACTATGCCCAAAAAAGTGGTACCAAAACACTCATTGACTGATAAAACGCGTTTCAACAGTAAAACTGTCATCATCAGCGAACAAATGCATTTCACATCATTATCATTAATCATTATCATTATCATTAAGTGGAAAATCTCTATAAAAATAGTACGTACGTTTCTCATGGTCAACGTTCCAAGGTAAATAACTAGCAAGGGCCTTTAACATTTCTATTCTAGGCAAAATTGCCTTAAACGATTATTTAATTGTAATTATCCAATGTTTCACTACCACATACTAAATTATGTCGCCTTAGCTTAAATTAGTCGTATCAGTTTTTTCATTATTTTCAGCCTCAAGAACCCACTAAGGCACGTGTAATTTAAACTTGAAGCTTCATGAGAAAATCAGTGATATTTTAAAAACATGGACAAGTATGGTACTACGAAAGTACACTTGGACATACCCTGAGCGTTTATTTAGATGAACAGTCAGAGCTTAGATTTTTGGTAATATAAACTATAATCCATAATTGAAATTGACTTACCAGTTTGACGTAGCCGGAAGAATAGGAGGAAGGTCCCAGTAACAGAATGTTTATGTAGACTATGGTCCGATTACTGCAACAAAAAGTAAAATATAAAACAGTGGAATTACAAATAGTAAGTTCAGCAACGGAAATTCTCAGTGTCTCTGCAACGGTAGCTCTAAATTCCATGGAGTGTCGAAATTTAGAGGGCCGAATTTACAATTAATTATTTAATAGTGGAATTGTAAGAATAAGTAAGCGAACATTCGGTGGAATGTGTCATATCTGCGTCGTTTAATTTCTGTAGAGCATTGTTTTATTAACGGCTTCCGGATATCTAGAGACTGGACCGTCTTATAAATAGATTTTCTTATTGAAATTTGATTCGTTCAGATTTCAATAAATAGAATTTCCATATTAGTGGATCCATTATGACTTTCGATTCGTAATCAACTAAGACGGACGCAAAACTCCCGCTCTTACTATTCAAGTTCTCAAATTACCCGGTGTTCAAATTAATTGTCTGCAATTACAGCTTGTAAATAATACATACGGAATAGAATTTACTGCAATAATTTTGTGTAAACATGAGTGTTATCAGCAATATGCAAGCGCTATCGGATATCTTTACATCCAAAATTCAGGGATTTGAATTACAGCTAGAATCTGCTATGGTAAAATAATCAGATTCTGGGATTCCTATTATTAATGAATTAACTGACAACTTCATTGCATTTAAAAAGTTTGTGATAAGCGCTCTACAACTGTGCGACTTTTCTTTTATAATATTATCCATGTCATTTTAAATTCTTTTTAAAAAAATTCAGTAATTTTGGTTTCAACAAAGGGGTAGTCATTAAGTAATTTGAGATGGGTGCATAAATTATATCAATTAACGCTTCTACCTCAATTAAGGTACTTGATCAAGGATCTTATGCATTAATAATTATCAATTTAAGCTCGGAATTTAACTGGTAGCAATTAATAATAGAATGGCCACGAATTCCCTGTCAAAAGGAAAAATATTGCAACGATTTGTATGTTTTGGAGAAAGGTCGGCAATTTGAATAAAGCACTTTGCCTTTCGAGCTTGTGAATCGTATAAATCTCCCAAATGTTTCCGATCTTCTAAGCCGGTAGAAAGGCATTTGTAACTAACTCTCTTACCATGCGTGGCACTTGCCACCAATTCACCAAAATCGATCTATATGTGTAAATACGTAAATTAAGAGAAATCCACGTACAAAGTTACTATCCAGAGCTGTCGCGATTTGACCGAGATTTCGGTTAACACGAAGCCCTTGTTCATCCCCTAAATAACGGGGCATGCAAATCGTCTTCTGGCGCTCCACGGTCGGAGACAAAACAAATAAATTTATTGGCTGTGGTGATCAGTTGTGTATCTTTAAATTATATTATCGTACTCAAAGTGGGGTGCGTTATTTTGTAGATTTGTTTCCTCTGATTGCGAAAGAATTTAAAAGACGAGTTTTCACAATGGTAAAATAATTATTCGCGAATTATACGATTGTGAGAGGTAATTGCGAATTAGTAAAATCATTGAAATTCCTGTAATGAGATTTGCCTGTATAATGGAACCATTCACACCGACAAACTGCTATAATTTAAAATTAATTAAATCGGTCCATGTATAAATCGGAATCAATGCAAATGCATTGAATATTACCTACAGAAGCCGTCTTTATTGAATAGTGCGTGCTCGTGTGCAGGAATTATTGACAGTTATTATAAGTGCTAGGAATGTTAGATAGAAATGGTTGCCGTACTCGAAAATCCCACTTTCAATTGATTTAACATTGAAGATCTAGGATTTTTCCTCAATTTTTCCCGATAAAATCTCACAAGGTAGGTGGAATAGTAATTATTGTACCGGGTGGCCAAATAAGAATGGCAATCGGCCATATTTCAGTTACCAGTAGACAAACCGCTTTGTAGTAAAAAATTATGTATAAAATAAATTGCTGGAAATTATTTTTGAGTGTGTAAAATGACCACTAAGGGGAGTAACAGTAAATAAAATAAAATGAGCAAAATCGGAAACGCACGCGAGAGTGAAAATTTTCACGTGCGCTTTCCACGAGCTTTGTTCATGCGGTAAAAAGGGATCATGGTGAAATGAAAACTGTAATGGCGATCAAACATTTCCTACGAATGAAATTTAAACATTCATATTGGGCCAAGGACGACATAATTAAAAGTGTTGGTGTTTTCCGTTAACACAAAAGATTATAAATAACTTTCAAGAGTTAAGCAATTTCATTGCAACGAAATAAAACGGATTGCACTTGTAACCTTTCGCATTTGAAAAACATTAATAAGAAAAGGGCGTAGAAATTTACTTAGTGAACGTTTCTCCTACGTAAATTAGGATTATCTACGAATAAGCTACTGGTTAGTACTTCCATATTTCATCCTCAAGACACCGAATGTTAAAAAAGGGATCGTTTTCTTCAGATCGCCCTTAAAGGTGCCTACTTCATTCAAAAATACGTGAACTTGCTGTCTGAAATTAATTGCTTCCCCTCGGAAAAGTGTAACAATTGCTGCAATTACGCTGAAAGTCTAAAAGCTGGAAACTGCATGGCTACTAACTGTTACAATCCCCCGAGAGCAATAAAATGCAGTCAGGCTGTTTAAATAACTTCAGCACGGCGATTGATTAAAACAGGGAAACGTATATCTACCCCTTATCTTTTTGTTAATCTCAAGATTTCTTTAAGCTTTCCTTTGATAAATGAGACGAGAACAAACTCGATCTTGTAGGGGTATCAGTAATAAAATATGAGATATAATACTATTTGTTATATGATGATGCTTGAAAACGTATACGAAGTCTCTTCGGTGTGGCGAAACATAATGTTTATACAGGAAAACCCCTAACATCAGAAAGTACAACCCAATTAACCCTTCATTATATGATAGATACTGAAACCCTTACAACGTAAAGTATCTGCATGAATGAAACATTTTAAATGAATCGAGTGGGTTTATTAAACCGTTTTGTTGTCTACGTCGACCTTTCCATGTTAACGTAACTTACACGATGCCCTTTTAAGGTGCGGCGTAAAAGTGGTCTCCAATCCTTTTGATGATTTGTCGGAAAGCATTCCAACATTTACGTCTGAATAGGTCAGAATTGCGAACTGACAATGATAAACAATTTGCAAACACAAGTAATATGCAAAAGAAATTCCTCAATAATACGGATTTGGAGAATGTCCTGTTTTAATAGACACAATCATATCATCCCTATGTCTCCTTCGAAATTTTATTGTAAAATTTTGAGAACTCCAACGAGATATCAGAGAAAGTGTACAGATTGTCGAAATATAAGGGGTCAATTCCCCAATAATGAATTTGATTAGTGGAATAGTATTCGTAAACAGTGATGGAAATGAATCCTTTCCTTAACTGCGTGACATCTTAATACTCTTATACAGGGATATTTTTAAAAGAAAATTATTATAATCATATCAATAACATTAATCTAGATATCCTACATTAAAATAAAACAAATGAGCGTGCACGTTTCTTGCTAAAAACCTTGAAGACAAAATGAAATTAGCAATAAAATGGTTTTCATCGTAATAAGTGATCGAAAAATTATTATTAACTGCAAGGCAGTGAACTAACCTATTGGAGAAAGCTTGAAATTAATGTCAGAATATTCTGGGAGAAATTGCTACCGCAATTATTGCTAATTTCGTGTTGTCTTCAAGAAACCTACACGTTCATTTGTTTTATTATGATGTAGGATATCTAGATTTGTTATTGATGTATAAGTATAATAATTTTTTTTACAAATTTTCTTCTATAAGGGTACTAACATGTTACATCATCGAAAAGAGAACAAAACTCTCTATAAAATGAGGTTAATGAAAGGGTGCATTTCTATTTTAAAAAAATGCAATTGTTTTTAGTTACTCATTTGTTTTTTGACATCAAAACATCTGAATGCTACCTTATTATGGGAAACAAAACGTTAAACAACTTTCATATAGAAAATTTTTATATACAGTGGATATTTACCGAGATACGTACTACGAGTATATCCCATACATAATGGGCACCCTGTATATTAATATAAATGTAATCGTCTGCACCTTTCTAATGAAGAAATCATTATAAAAACATGAAATTTGGAAGAAATTATGTTTGAAAAAGCTTTTAACAGATGAAGGCTTTCTGAAAAAGCCCGTAAAATATAAATCATTTTTATAAGATCGAACTATTGAAAAAAAAGAAGATTCGGAGATATCCATGGTGTGATGAAACTCAAAATGGGGTTAAATCCCAAAAAGACACAAAACTTTCCCAGTACTAATTTAATAGACAAATTATGAAAGCAGCGACTAGTTTCGACCAACGGTCATTTTCTGGCTTAAGGAAATTACAGAATAAAACTTTTTTCCCCCACGCCTTTGGATTACCATCAAAATTGTTAAAATTGACTGCAACAACTACCGTAAAAAATTTCCATTTACAATTTAAGAAATCATTTATATTTTTTAATTCGGTTGTACTTTTTCATGTTCCAATTTGTAATGTATCCTTTGTTTCACAGCTACCCAGAATGCTGGGAAGGTGTAATTTATACAATAAATTTCTATATAGGTACAGTGCTATTTATTTATTTATTTATGGGTATTTTCCCTATGTCTACTTTTAAATGACAAATTTCTTCTGTAGTGCCCCTAAATTTATGCAACAAAAATACCTTCTTAAAACAACTAAGATTTGGCTGTCATATTAATTAATTTGAACATGGTTGCTTTGGTTTCTTTCCGTATTTTGATTTTCGCTTGTGTCAACCGTTTAAGGAGCGTACGCGATTTATTTTTTGTGAAGTCAAAGCAACAGTATTCAAACTAATTAATATGACAGCCCGATGTTTATTTGTTTTAAAAAGTTATTTTGGATGCCCTGCAGAAGAGATTTTGTCTTTTAAAAGTAGACTTAGAGAAAAACAAAATACACAAATCCCTATGTCTACTTCTAATCACTGTATACACAGGGTGAGTTTTTTCCGATGTTTAGTATGGGGATGTAGTAACCCGTAGGAGATACAAC